ACCAATTTTTTTGAAACTTCAGATTTACTATATACAATCTTACAAATGTCTCCTTTACGATGCCTTTGCTTTATCCAATATTTTTATCAAAGAGTTTTGCTTTTTAGTAGAATTAAAAATTTGTTATGAGATTTGATACTTTGTTGCTTCTTTTGAAATTGATGACAAAAATTTCAAGGAAGAAAAATGTATTGTGAGCGTTACATCACAGTAAATTTTTAGTTTAACTGTCAAAAAATATTATCAAAATGTTCGCACAATTTATTTTGCTATGTACGGTGTTATTTCAATTTACTGCTGCACAATTGGGTAAGAAGTTTTAGCAAATGAAATACATGAAAAATGTGAAAGAATTATTTTATATAAAATGAATTATGTTTAAGTATGGAAAAATATAGAAATTTGGCCAATTATATTAAAAAACCTACAAATTAAATGAGAAACATCATTTGTATTGAAGTGTTCAGCTAAATTTTTTTTAACTACAAAAACATTTTAGAATTATTCAATACATCATTTACATAAAAAGAAAATGATTTCAACTGAATTTTTTTTCCAGATCCAGAAGTTAATAAGCAATCCTTAAAATCCTTAAAACCGACACAATGCGAAATAACCAATCAGACAGTGTATGATTTTCAAGTTCAAATATTAAATGGTGCACTAAAAAATTTGTCAGAATATCGCAATAAAGTTCTTCTAATCGTTAACGTGGCTACTTTTTGCGGTATGCGCTTTTCTTCCTTTATAAAACATTATTTGTGCTTTAAATAAGGCGTCTTTTCTATTTATATCAATGTTCTTTTTTTTTTCTCATGGAGTATTTCAGTTTGCTGTTCTATCGGAATTTGAAAAGGTTGAATATGTCGTTGAAGCTATGATAAAATGAATTAATCGTGATAAAAAAGAATGTTCACGTATTTCTAAACTTTTATCCTGTTTGCGTTTAATTTTTCCTCTTCAGAGTTTAAGATATTTTAACTCTGGAAGACATATGTGATTTGGTTAATTTTATTGATTTCTACATTCAAATGAATGGGAAATTTTTTAGCATACACCTTTCAATATGAAGACTTTAATCCATTACTCGAAAATAATTCTAATGGAACGCTCACTATCCTAGCATTTCCATGTAATCAATTTTACTTACAAGAACCAGCTGAAAATCATGAATTGTTGAATGGTTTGAAATATGTAAGACCAGGAAATGGTTGGGAACCGCACAAAAATATGCATATTTTTGCCAAAATTGACGTTAATGGTGACAATCAGCATTCACTTTACAAATTTTTGAAGGTTTTATTGTTTGAAATTCTTCTCAAAAATCTCTTTCTTCATTTAATATATTTTCCATTGACTTTGTCATGAAAAAAAGCGAATTAATTCTGCTTTTCGTACAGTTTTTACTCTTTTGTTTCATACTTCATTTTTATGATTTGAAAAAATAAATCCCATTCATTTATTTTAAAAAATTTGCTTTCCATAAATAGTTCAATATATAAAAGTTTATCAAAACAAAATATCTTGATGGGAAAGATCGTCTACAAGAAACTAAGTAGTGAGATGATATGTCTGATAAATGTAATGATTGTTTTTGGAAAAAAAAACTCTTTTGTAGGATAATTGCCCGCCAACAGTGCCGATAATTGGAAAGCGTCATGAATTGATGTACAATCCGATTGGTACGAATGATGTCATCTGGAACTTTGAAAAATTCTTAGTTGATAAGAAAGGTCACCCACGTTATCGTTTTCATCCAGAAAGTTGGGTTCAAGCAACTGTTGTAAAGCCGTACATCGATGAATTGGAGCGTGAAATATAATCCTATCGATCTGTCGCTCATATCGTTCAAATATTTCAAAATTTATAAACTTTGTGCTACATTTTGATTTCTACTACAATAAAATCTTCAATCTTCAACTATTTCTTCAATGACTGAAATAGCATTTATATATTAAAAAAACATTAAAATAGCATTATTTGATTAGTCCAATCACTTTATCCATTTATAAATGCAAAAATTTACATTTTTTAGAAATGCTATTTCCACGCTTTTTGTTGTTCACACACCATATTTTTTTGTTCAATTTATTCAGATATCAAAACAGATTTTTAGCAGTACTGATAAATACAAATAAAATGCTAAAGGAAAAATGAATTGTTCACAATGCATCATTAAAATACAGAAATGGTGTGAAACGAAAAAAAAACATGAATAGGAAGGATTGCATTGAATTCACGAATATATCTTTTTATTTCAAAACATATTTCAAAATTACATATGTCATATATTTTCTAAGAATCATCGAAATGCAAGAAACTGACGACAACATACCCTATGTTATTTCTTCTATGCTTTTTAATTATTCATAAAGGAAAAGTCTCATTGATTATAGTTTTAATTAATCAGTGACGTACATTTTATCAGTCAACAATTTGTCTCTTCCATCGGGTACAATAAGTTATTAATTCACTAATTTATTTTCTCACTTTAACAACTGAAACGTATTATATGAGAGAGAGAGAGAGAGAGAGAGAGAGAGAGAGAGAGAGAGAGAGAGAGAGAGAGAGAGAGGTATAGTTTGTATATTGATATCACTATATTTCTATGTATTTGATACATGTCTATATAATAAGGGGTAGGTTTATCATTAATTTTCTAATCTCTTTTTGGATTCCAAACTATAATATTTGACTTTACTTTAATTTTTGCTAATTCAAACTTCTTCAAAAGAATTTCCATAAATTTATATTTTATTTCTATCTTATGATTCCAGTCATAGTTCAACATTATGAAGAAGAATTTGTTTTTGTATGTTCCAAAATCATAACACACATTCGAAAAATTGCCTGACAACTGTACTTTGTAATTCTCATGAATATAAAACAAAATAATCAAGTCTATGATAAAAAAAATTATTCCACTCTATGGTTATAATATTTTGTTGCAATTTTGAAAATCATTACAGTACAACTTGAACTTTTAGAATGTTTCAGTCAGCTAATATGTCAATCATCGTTCAGTTTGCAGAATCGTTAAAACTAACATGAAAAGATATTTGTTTGAGTTGTAAATAGAAGTGATGATTAATTTTCATGACATTCTCTCTTTTTCTCTACTGATCTCTTTCTTCCTTTGTCATTAATATCTTCTTTATACGGATTATCAATATAAATTAAGTCAAATAATAAACCAACTGGCGGATTATAATTGATGAATTTGAAAATGGATTTCACTATTTTCACTTACAAAACTAGCAGAGATGGGTAATGCAATAAGCAATCAAAAAATAATTGCTGCTGCTACTGCAGGAAAATTAGCTACAGTTGAACAAATAAAAAGTGCTGTCAAAAAAGATTAGATTAGCAAATAACTGCAAATGAAAAACTATAAAATATGAATATTTTTAAAATCTTATTAAAGAAATTTGGCAGGAAAAGAAAAGGTATTATTTTTAAAATGAATTTCTCATCTCTCCGAAGTCTTGTCTTCATCTTCAATTTTTTCACAAGTCGTAATTTAATGCTAAATGCAAATACTTTAAAGCGATTATCCAAGTTAACTTGCTTGTTGATTCAAAAGCATGAAAAGAACTGGTTGTTCAAAACACATTTAAATAATAAAGTTGAGAGAGTGATGATGTTTCCCCTTAATGTTTAATAAATTAAAAATTTTGACAGTTGGTTTAACTTTGATTGATCAGTAATGATTATATTTTTGGCAGTTCAGAATATGTTAAATCGATTATATTTAAGCAAATGAGATTTATTCATTACTTGGGCATTTTATGTTTCATTGAAATTATTGCTTCTCCTAAAGATAAGAAATATATTAAAACATTGGATATTTGTTGCTTTCAAAAACAATGCACATAAACTTACACAGATAGTATATTTATAAGCTAAACAAAGTGATTTTTCTATAAAAGTTCTATTTTGTGGATTTTGATGATAATTGAGCAGTGTTAAATGGTACACAGTATTGCCTTATTGCTAATTGATAATTGTTAAACTTTTCACTGAGAAGGACAAGAGTCATTTTTGACAATTAATTTCACGGGATATCGTTGACTTAATAGTAAAAATACTCCGAGCGCATGAAACATATCTTATCGTATATGAGTACATAGACAAGCCTTTCTTATTTCTGCTTTTTAGGTAATATTACATAATTAAGAGCATTAAATTTAGTAAAATAAATAATACATCCTATCGCTTTAGGCGAAAAAAAATATATGCATGAAATTTTTATGAAAATATTGATTCCGACTTGGAAAATGCTAAAATTGTAATATTACATGAAATGGCTAAAATCATTCAGCAAATTTAGCAGAATAATGGCATATAACTTATTTATGAAGGACATTTCAATTATCAACTATTCGATAATGCTAAATTGTTTGTCTCAAAATTTCTCCAACTGTTGCAGAACATGCAAAAATTTATACTTAATGGTGCGTTTGGCTTTTTTTTTCTCTTCAAAATCTTGCAGCATTTCAGACAATTGAGAGACAATATTGCAGCATTCTGAATAGCCTTGGATCACATCATTTGATTATTGTCCAACAATGCAGCACATCCTACAATGTCGTTTCAAAACTATGAAATCAATTTCATATATAAGAAAGTTAATTTCAATTATGAATTCATTTCAACAATTGCAAAATCCTATTAAAATTCTAACATATTTAATCAGTTGTACTTAATTAATACAAAGCAAATTTATTTTATTTATTACCCGTCCTTATGACTAATTACTTTGTATATCGACAATATTAGACTTTTTCAGGATGATTGATATTGGTGACAATGTTCGGAAAGGCGCAAATGGATTTACTATTTCGATGATGTCAATATGCTGCTAATTGTTGTAGGATTGTTGTACCATTACCTTTCACGTAATAAATTATCTGATAACGAAAGCTTAAAAAGATATGTGATTGCAGTAATTAGATTAATCTGCTACATCAGTGCTCGCATGACTTTTTTACCGTTTTAGTGGAAAGATAATTACGTTTTAACAGCAACCGTTGATGCTTTTGCACAGTCAATAAGTAATGTTACATTGTCGAAAGTCATGATTTCTATGGATTAAAAAAATTGTTAAAAAGTTTCTAATTTTGACGCAAAAGTTATTTTGACATCTTAAGACAAGAAGTTAAATGTACTTAATTATAACTGGTAATTAACATCAGCTAATTCAGTATTCATACTTAGACAAAAAAATGCATCTAATTCTACATTTAAAATACGCTCAGTTTTTTCTTATTAATAAAAAGCGATTTTATTTTTTTAATGTAACATCGTATGATACAAAGCCAGCGAATTTTTAAAACGATTGTACGAAGCAATTATTTCAAAGATTCATCTGTTTTATTTTGAACAAATATGATATCTTCCAAAAAAAGATTAGAACGATGGTTAGTGTTTTTTCTTTTTTTATGAAAGTAATGAATAGAATACAGAAATAAGCCTTGTGGATCCAAATTATTTTTTAAATTCTGATAGACATGAAATTATCATAGTATTGAATTAATTTAAAAGAAATAAAAGTTAATGAATATAATTGCAACAGCGATTTTTGAATTCTTTAAATGCTACTATAAATTTTTTCTCTAATTACTAAGTTTCTAATGTTAAGCAATTGATTTGTTCAAAAGCATTATCGTAATCTTTCGAAAAAAAATTACAGAAAGGATATTAAAATATGTTAAGATATGCTAACATGTGAGCTAAATTTTATTGATATGATTAGTGGAAGTGAGGAAAGACAGAGTAAGATGATCATGAATAGCGCATATTCATTGTTTATTTACATAATTTTATTACTCTCTTTTAAATTAGCATAATGCTTTTTTGCAGGTGACAATTCAGCAGAGGACTGTGCGAAAATCAATCTAACAGTGCATACCAAACAAATAAAAATATTTCCCTTTTGTGATGACAGTAACAACACGAAAAATATTGATTTGATGTTTAGCTTGACGATTGCACATATTGTTAATTTTGATTAACATTTCCGACACTGATGAATAAAGTAAATTATGTTCGTTTCCTCTCTTATATCTATCATTAATAGTTCTTTTACCGTTTCCAAAAAAACATTTCGGCCGGATTTTAACTGAAAATCGAAAATGATGTATGAAAACAAAAGATTTAAAATTAAGGAAAAATTAGAAAATGAAAATTTAAATGAGTTAATTGAAATAGCTTACAGCTGATTTCACAACTTTTGCAGAAACCTGATCGATAAATTTTATCTTTTCAGCTACGAAATTTTACTTCCTTTCTATCTTAATAATCACAAAATGATATAGTTCATTAATGATATCCATTAAAAAAATATAAATATATCTGCTCTTCCATATGGAAAATATATAATATCTTTAAGAAACGAAAAATATTTTACTTCCTTTATCTCCATCAACCAATCAGTATCTTCATATGAAAGAGCAGAAATGTGTAGTGAGAATACATACATTTATAAATCATAAGAATGAAATGTTAAAATATGAAGACGTAAAAAATAGTTAAATTATAACTCATATGAAAAAATTATCACTCATACGAACAAGTAATAATTTACATGTCACATTTTACTGATATAATGAGCTGCAAATGAAGCGGTGGCTTAACCTAACATAACTGCAAAATTTCCAAATTAATGTTAACACGAAGAAAATAAATTGTTGAAAACGTTATTATTCGAGAGCAGAAAAGCATGCAATAGCAGAGCAGTTTCATAGATTTGAGGCACTAAGAGAAAAAAAAAAAACTAAGTGAATAAAAATGATATCGATATAAGACAGATCTGTCAAATGAATTGGCGTAACACTGTACAACAAGAACAAAGTGAGGTGAACAAATGTGCGGACATTAATATCATTTCAGGAAACAGTAAGAACTACTAAACGGAACGATCTTTGGACTACGAATTATTTTTCAACTTCTAAAATAGGCATTGGAATTTTCCTTTCCGGTTGTTGTTGTTGTTGTTGTTGCGAATACAATTCATAAGGGGTCATTTTTCCGTCATTACACTCAATATGGCAAAATTCGGCAACACCACCCAGGCCTTCTGCACTAGACATCCCCGAGGAACCACCGCGCCCACTTGAATTTGATTCGATCGAAAATCTTCGTTGTTGGTTATTGCTGTTTGACTTTGATACTGAGGTTTCATTCGGGTTTTTTTTATCCACCTTCGTTAATAGACTGAAAATTTTCGAACACTGTGATTAATTCCTTCCATAAGTAGAAGGAAAAGATTATTAGCTAAAAATCAAAATAGTCGACTTTGTCATAAGAACAACAAAGGACGTTAACAAAAGTGTATTGTCTCTTTCCAACGATAGCTAAATTGTTAAGCATCAGAGAAAGAATCGTAAAAATGAGTGAAAAATTCATAACAAAATTTCTATTCTTCAAACAACGACAAACTAACGTGCTTGCTTGATTGACAGTGAAGGCAGATGCGGATCCTTCAAGTGCTGACTTCCTCATATTGTCCATATGAATTGAATCCGATTCATAGGCAGTTGAGTCAGAAAAACGAGTATGCCTTAGTGGTGGGAAAGGAAATTTTGTGCCTCGTAATTTACCTAAATAATTGCGAGATTTTGCAAATAAATGATGCTTATTAATAAGTGTAAAAAAAGGTTTAAGACTCCAATAAATCCATCTTTTATTTCGCTTATCGATACAAGTTCCATCTTGAATGATATGAATGAACGGAGAAGGATCAAGAAGGAAAGCAAGTTGTATAAATCTTTCGTAAATATTTTACCCTTTTCAGTAGAAGCTGCCTGTGCACCCTCAACATTTACATATTGTGGATTCTGTAAATCATTGTTACATGTAACGTTTTCTGTGCCATTTTTTTCTCCTATGATTTCGTTTTTTTTTTCAGTTTCAGAATAGGTGCATGGCCCATTACTTAATCGACATTTCTTATAGGACGTCGGTGAATCACCCCTCTCATTGGCATCTGAATCTAACAGTGCTGATGTTGCTCCAGCTGACCATAAAGGTGAACCGATTGCACTATCGATCGAGACTGTCGCCGTGCTATTCAAGCTAAGTTCATTGAAAGGCCTAAAGTGGATCTCGTTTGCAAATCTTAAGAAATTGTGAAAGCATACTTGAAAATTCAGAAAAAAAAATGAAACCTATTCATCATCCAAAAACAATAAAAAAATATTCCCTGTATCAGTTTCTTCTAATAAATGCAATGTATTAAAGATAAAATGTAACGATAGAAAAAAAAAAATGTAACGATAGAGACTTTCATTCTAAGACTTACGACGTATCAACTACTGGAAATGCAGGACATCTTCTAATAAATGCATGATGTACACCGGATCGACTTTGTTTCTCATACAAAACAGCTTTTTCGCCAGATAACAAAGGATGGGAATCATTATCAAATTCAGAATCCGAGTCTGGATCAGCTACAGGCTAAAATTAACAAACTAACTGATTAAATTAATGCCGAACGATAGCACCGATAAGAATGAATTCCGTAAAATAAAAAGATAAAAAGGTGAAAAAACTCAAAAACAATCAGTATATGATCATCAAGTTTGTACAGTCATTTAGTGCAGTTCATTCCCTAGCAGAATGACCTAATAACATTCGCTTCACGAGACTCATTGTGTCGATCACTATATTGTTTCGTTCAGCATCTATCAACCTCTTCATAATTCAAACTGTTCCATCTTCAGTTTCTGCGACAGACATTTCATTACAGAGAATTCTCACCGAAATCACTTTTCTCACATGCCATCATACCAATCTGGTAGGGAAAAGAACAGGACTACATACGGAAAATAATCGACTAAAGTTTGAATTTAGATGATTCTCCGATTAATTTCAATTCAAGAAAACCGGAAATGTTTGAGATTTACTTCACTCGGACTTATAACAGGTTCCGATAATGGTCGTGCTTTTCTGTGCCTTGATGGACTTTCCGCTGTACGTAATGGTGGAGGTGGCGGCGGCGCGATATTTCTGACTTCATCACTTCCATCACTCGCTATCGACTGCACTTCCAGATAATTCTGTAGAGATTGTTTGAATTATATTAAATATAATAGCAGAGTTTTAAATGAAAAAACAATTTCGACCTATGGTCGTCTAACTAACCTCGTGATCACGAGCTGATTGGGTAAGCATCCAGTCGAAGTAATCAACCAAGGTGTCGAAACTTGGACGATTTTCTGGTTTTTCCTGAAAGATTCATCTCAACATTAGCATTAGATAAGTACAATAATTTATAACAATAAATATGATTATGCGTTAAAAAAAGTACCTGCCAACAGGCAACCATAACATCGTAAACCTCCTCAGGACAATTATCTGGTGATTCCATTCGATATCCCTCTTTCAGACATGAGTACAACTGTTGCATTGCAATCGATGGATAAGGCGTGCCACCAAGGGTCATTATTTCCCAAAGTAATATTCCAAATGACCAGCTGGAAAGAAAAAAGAGAAAAATGTGTGATAGTACACATTTCTGATTACTTATAAATTGAATCAAAACGTTCACTTATATAACTGATAACGATGATATAAAGAGAATTGAATGGACAATACATACACATCACTGTAGATCGTGTACACATGAGAATCTAGCGCTTCTAATGCCATCCATTTAATCGGTAATCGACCATTTCCCTTCTTTCGATAATAATCATTGTAATGAACATCTCGAGATAGACCAAAATCTGATATTTTCATTACAAAACCATCCGCGACTAGAACATTTCTCGCAGCCAAATCACGATGAATTATCTGTAAGGGGCATGAGAAATAAATGCTTTTCTAAATTAAGAAAAAAAATTTAATTACTTCAAATGATTTAATCAAGGAATAGATTTGAAAAAACGACAGGATGGAACCTTCCGACTCGCCATGAATTCCATTCCTTTTGCCACTTGCCAAGCAAACTGTACAAGATGTCGTTGTGTTAAATGCTTGATAAGCATTGGCTGTTCATGTGTTGATGCAACGGTTAATTTCCTTTGCAATTTTCGTGGTTCTAAATAATGATCGGTGCTACCTCCAACACCAACGCCAAGATTTGTAGCTTCAGGAACCTGCGAACTACTATCTACATCTCGAGGGCGATGAGCTCTCAGAAAATCCCTGAATATTGATGATAATTAGATGAAAAGAATTAAAAATGTCAATCATGATCTACTGGTAAAATCTAAACGACTGCTACAAGTTAGCAGCAGTTACGTAACAAAACTATTTACCTCAAATTTCCATGTTTGCATAATTCCACGATAACATACAACGGACCAGTACCAGTGCAACATCCAATCAATCGAAGCAAATTTTCGTGATGACCAATTATTTTAAATGTTTCCATCTCACTAACCAAATCAATCAACTCTTTTTCATGGGCTGATGCTTTCAATTTCTTGACGGCCACCTACAATTTAAGGCACTTCCAACACGCATGGTAAATTTTATCTCGAAAAAAAAACTCAGGCAAAGAAATTAAATAAAATTTGGGATTTTGAAATATCAAAGCATCAGTAACCTCTTCCTCTCGCATCTCCCCTTGATTTGTAGCTGTTCGTGCGTTTGAAGTCCTTAGTACTGCTTTCCAAACTTCTCCAAATGCTCCTTCGCCCAACATCTCC